GTTATCTCATTTTGATGCTCACGAAGAATTCTAATGTAAATATGGCTCTCCTCCAGTCTTCAAGTAATGAAACCACAGGGACTGATCTTGAGGTTCAGACAGTGCCCCTTTTTCAAGTGGTTCAACTTCAGAGTTTATTACCTTGGAGAGGATGTATCTGCAGCTGTGCACTGAAGCAGAAAGAAAACAGCCTCTGTTCCCCAAAGTCTCTAATCCACTGGAGAAATAGACACAAAGCAGATGGCTATGGCATGAGTCACAACAGGGGCTTTGAGGGGCAACTCAACCTCAGGGGAGAAGACAAGGGAGACTTTTCAGAAGAGGCCACCACTGGGTCAAGTCCTGAGGGACCAACAGTAATGAGTCATGGAAAGTTCTAGGCTTGAGGAACAGTATGTGTCAAGATCCAGATGAGAAGGCGTTGGAACCTGAGCAAAAAGGAGAGTGAGCCAGGATGTGCGGAAGGAATAGAACAAGAGATGAAGTTCTGGGGTTGGTGCAGGAGGGTTTCATCAAGGCTGGACAAAGGAGCTTGTCTTGTCCAAAACCCCCAAAGAGTCTACAGGGGTTCCTGCACACAGCCTCAGCACTGACCATGATTGGAAAGGTGTGATGCAGAGAGGTCCATGACTGCAGAGGGGCCTGTGACTGCAGATAGGTCTACTACTGCAGGTGGGTTCACAACTGCCAAGGGGTTCACTGCTTCAGAGGTATGGACAAGGAACTCTGGCTGCCTGAACTCAGTGGTTGCTGCAGCATGGGGGTGGGAAAAAACAACTGCTGATCAGCATCAGTGAGACTTAGGGATGGGACCCCTGGGGATATGTAAAAAAATATGTTCCTCATCATGCCAGTCTTCTGCAAGGTTGGTGAGAACAGATGCTTAGTGAATAATAATAATAAGACATAATAAGAAGTAACTATCACTGTGGCTAGTTTGTATCTTGAAGAGACCCCAGAGGTCCATGTGTTCAAGGCTTGGTCCCAGTCAGTAGAACTACTGGAAGATGATGTGACCTTCAGGAAATGGGGTCTGGTGGAAGGAAGTTAGAAAACTAGAATTATGCCCTAAAAGGGGTATTGGGATTCGAGTTGTGATGGTTGTCAACTTGAAACACCAGGGAAGAGGGAACCTCAGTTGAGGAATTTCCTCCATCAGACTGTCATGTGGGCATGTGAGGGGCATATTTTCTTTATTTTTAGGTAAAATTTTATTAATTTTTATTTTATGTGTATGAGTGTATTGCCTACAAGTAAACAGGTGCACCCAGGTCGGTACTGCCCGTGGAAGTCAGAAGAGGGCGTAGGATACCCTGGAACTGGAGTTATAGATTATTGTTAGCTGTCATGTGGGTACTGGGAATTGAACCTGGGTCCTCTGCAAGAACAGCCAGTGCTCTTAACCCCTGAGTCATCTTTCTGGCCCATGGGGGGATATTTTCTTGATTGCTCTTTGATGTAAGAGGGTCCAGCCCACTGTGGGCAGTGCAGTTCCTGGACAAGTGGACCTGGGCTATAAAAGAAAACTAGCTGAGCAAGCCAGAAGGAGTGAGGTAGTAAGCAGTGTTCTTCCTTGACCCCTGCTTCAGTTCCTGCTTCCAGTTTCCTGCCTTGAGTTCCTGCCCTGGCTTCCCTCCATGGTGAACTGTAATTTATAAGAGGAAACAAACTCTTCCTCCCCAAGTTGGTTTTGGTCAGTATGATGGTTTGATGAAAATGTCATCCATAGGCTCCAAGTATTTGAACTTTTGGTCAGTTGGTGGTGTTGTAAGGGGGGGGGGTCCTGGAATTTTTAGGAGGTGTGGCCTTTCGGAGGAAGCATGTCACTGGGGGGGCAGGCTTTGAGAGTGTGTATCTTGTCCATTTCCAGTCTGTCTCTCTCTGCTTCCTGCATGTGCTTCAGGAAGTGAGCACTCAGCTTTCTGTTCTAGTTACCTCTGCCACCATGCCTCGCTGCCTTGATGGACTCCTATCCCTCTGGAACCATAAACCAAATAAACTCTCCATTCTGTAAGTGGCCTTGGTCATGGTGTTATCACAGCGACAGAAGAGTTATGAATATAGTCAGTGCTTTATCAAGCAAAAAAAGTCCCTTCATGTTTCTCGTTGATTCTCAGCTTCCACATGCCCATCATCTCCTGGCTCTCCCAGCCATGACAGCCTGACTCACCACAGACCCAAAGGCAATCCGGCCAAGCAGTCATGTATTCAAATCACTGAAAATGCTTAAAACTTTCTTTCTTAAAAAGTGCTATGAGGGGGTAGGGGTGAGGGGTGACTGGAGAGATGACTCAGTGGTTAAGAGCACTGACTGCTTTTGCAGAGGACCCAGGTTTGAATCTCAGCACCTACATGGTGGCTAACAACCATCCGTAACTCCAGTTCCAGAGGATCTGACGCTTTCTTCTGACCTCTACAGGTATTGCACAACATGGGTGTGTACTTACATATATCAGGCAATACACTCATACACATAAAATTTAAAGCCAGACATGGTGGTATACACTTTTAATCCCAGCACTCAGAAGGCAGACGCAGGTGGATCTCTGTGAGTTCAAGGTCAGCCTGGTCTACATAGCAATTCTAGGCCAGCTGGGGCTACAGGGAGATCCTGTCTCAAAAAAAAAAGACCCCCAAAATTTTTTTAAAGAAAAGGTGCTAGACTACAGGTGTTATGTCACAGTGACAGGAAGCTACCATAACTGGTGAACTGTTGCTGTCCCCACTTAATCCCAATTCATTGCTGTTACACTCCTGGAAGCTAAGGGGACAGGAAAGGCAGTATGGAGGTGGGGGTTGCATTCTTGACTGTCTTCTTTCATGAGCCAGTCTGTCTCCTGTCCTCAGAATGCTCCTGCTCCTTCACTCTGACTTACAGGCACCTGGCTCTCTGGCAGTCATGGGATTGGAGGAAAACAGCAGTTCTGAAGCTTGTCCTGGGCCAACACCACTCTGTGCGCAGTGCATGCCATGCTTAAGAATGGGGTGTTCCCTCCTTGCCCTCCTTTCACTCTGTCTCTGTCTCTATATCTGTCTCAGGGGGCAGGGGGCTTTGCTTGAACTTAGGGCCCTCCTTCCCTAGCCTCTGAAGTGCTGGGATTATAACTGTGTGCCACCATGCTGAGCCTCTCAGATTTTCTTTTTTTCTTGCTTTCTTCTGGTTTCTTTTTGCAAAAAAGAAATTTTTCTCTTCATCCAGTGCTTCTTGAAGATGACTGACATCAAGTCAGTACTGTCATTTGTGAGGCTTGGTCTCTTGAATTGGCATCTGTCACCTCAGCCTAGCGCCACTGCTAATGGAGGACAGAGATGGATCTGATGGGGCCTGAGCTCCATCTCTCTGGTGTCAAAGGATGTCTGAACTTCCTCCAAGAGAAGCAGAGGTGGCTTGCTGGAACATCCTCTTGGGTCCTCATGGCCCCCTACTGTTCCTAGCTATGGTAACAAGCAAAATCTGGGTGGAGGGCCCCCTTTTTGATCCATCAACCCCTGGACCTTGTGCCTCCATGAACTTGCCTTCTCCCTCACAGTTGGATTTCTTCCCACATAGAAATTGTGAAAAACTGGACTGGGCCTGTAGCTCAACTGGTAGAGAGCTTGCTTAGCATGCACAAAGCCTTGGGTTCCATTCCCAGCACCACATAAAATGAGCATGGTGGCATTCACCTATACTCTAGAGGTAGAGGCAGGAGGATCAGAAGTTCAAAATCATCCTTAGCTACTTAGCAAGTTCCAGGCCAGCCTGGGCTACATGAGACCTTGTCTTAAACAACAACACTGGGCATGGTGGCACATACCTTTAACCTCAGAATTTGGGAGGCAAAGGCAAGTAGATCTCTGTGAAATCAAGGCTAGCTTGTTCTACGCAGAGAGTTTCAGGCCAGCTGGAGCTGCAGGGAGACCCTGTCTCAAAAAACAAAACAAGGGGCTGGAGAGATGACTCAGCGGGTAAGAGACTCAGGTTTGAATCTCAGCACCTACATGGCAGCTAACAACCATATGTAACTTCAGTTTCAGGGGATCTGACGCCCTCTTCTGACCTCTGAGGACACTGCACCACACAGGTACACAGGTGTACTTAACAAAGATGCAGGTAAAACACTCGTATACATAAGATGAAAAATAAATACAGTTTTTTAAAAACAAAACAACCAAAAAACTACTATACACACATCAACAAAAACTACTATACACACACCATACATCAAACCAATGTTTTTGATGGTGATTATGACTTTGGCAGGACTCGGTTTGTTTTAGCTTTTCGCTTTCCTGATGTTATTCTTGCAAATTTTGCCTTATGTCACCGCGCTCATTCCCATTCCATTATCCAATACTCACTGGGCCATTAGTAAGCCCTGGGAACACAAGAACAAAAGGTCAGGAATGGTATTACCCATAAGGAGTCCATCCCACCAGGGGACCACACAGAGCAGTAACTGCTCTAAAGACATTCACCCAGGGCAGTGCGACCTGGTGAGTCTGATGCTTAGGGTCTAATGGGCAGCTGCTGACCTCTGGGAAGGGGGTCTTTCTCCTGACACCCAAACAAAGAGAAGCCAGCCATGTAAAGATCTGCTGGAAGAGCTGGAGAGGGCACAGCAAATCAAAGTGCTGAGGCCCGGGGGAAGGGCTCAGGTTGGGAGAGGGACAGAAAGGCCAGCAAGCCCCACTCAGGGAACATGGGCTGAGCTGCGGTGCAGTCGGACAACAGGGCCAGATACTGCTGAGCTTGAAGGTCAGGCTGAGGCTGGATCTTCTCTGCTCTCTTGCAGGGCCTGGAGGGCTCTGAGTAGGGGTGTGGCTGTGATTGAGCCTGAGGTCAGTTCCCCATCAGTCTTGTGGCTCCTGTATGGCCCCACTTCCTTCCTCTCCTCAGCTTCTGCACAATCTGTGAGCGTTTCCTTTGACACAGGCAGTGGTGTACTCACGCTTCAATACCAGGACCCAGTCGCCTGCCGTCTCCCTTCCCCACCCTCACTGGGGCTGTCTCTGTGTCTGTGAAGGTACATCCCAGCCCACAAAATGCTTTCAGCTCTTCTGGTCTGACCTCAGCTTCACCATCAACCTGGTGTTGAAGGAACCTAACTTCCTACAGGGGAAGAGGAGGCGACTCACTTTTTGTCACCCAGTGTCTGCCTGCCTCAAAGTACAAAGTTCCTAGCTACAGTGACGATCAGATCCAGTGGAGTAGGAGACAGAGCAAGTGGGATTCCGGTCAGAAACGAAACTGAAAGAAAGCTTTCCTCCCAGGCCTGGGGAGGCTGGCAGAGGTGGGCTAGGAACAGACAATAGGCCAGAGAAAGGGTGATTTTTAGAAAGCTGAAGAAAAGGGACCCTGTGACCCACACTTTCATTTCTCCTAAATATGAAGTGAAGTGACGTGGCAGAGGCAGTTGCAGAGCTAGTGAAAGGGGGAAGCCCAGAGTTTCCTAAGAGGAGAGAGAGATGGAGGATGAGCAGGGAGGAAGAGCTAGAGGGGACTAGGAGAAGGGCAGTCAGGTGAAGAGGGGTGTGTGGAGGAGGTGGCAGGGACAGTGGGGGGCCACTGAGACCCAGGTGTCATAAGGGAAAGGGACAATTGTTGAGGGAGGGCAGCCAACCAGGGGAGACTAGAGGAAAGGGGGGGCAGAGAAGTGGGCGTAGGAGGAAGAACCAGGGGGCTGGGTGACAGTGGAGGCTACAGGGTCAGGCTGGAGGGGAGACAGTGAGGGTGAAACGCTGGGGAGGGGGCAAGCAAAAGGAGAATTAGGGATGGGAGGAGAGCAGTGAGAATTGCTGGGGAGGTGGAATCTGGGTAGCAAAGAGAGGGACTAGAGGCACCGAGAAAGGAAGGGAGAGGACAGAGAGAAGAGGGGACAGGGAGAAGCAAAGAGGGGGGGGTCCCATTTAAGAGAGAAGAGGAGAGAGCGGAGGAGGCCGGCCATGCCCCCGACGGGCGCCTTGGAGCAGCCGGGCAGGCCTGGAGAGCGGCGGCCGCTGCTGGGCAGAGGCCCCCGGGGTCCCCGACCATGGCGACGGACGGCGGGAGCCGCGGTGCTGCTGGTGGAGATGCTGGAGCGCGCCGCCTTCTTCGGGGTGTCCGCCAACCTCGTGCTCTACCTCAACAGCCTGAACTTCAACTGGGACGGCGAGCAGGCGTCGCGGGCCACGCTCCTCTTCCTGGGAGCATCCTACCTGCTGTCGCCGGTGGGCGGCTGGCTGGCGGACGTGTACCTGGGCCACTTCCGAGCCATCGCGCTCAGCTTACTGCTCTACCTGGTGGCCTCGGGCTTGCTGCTCACCATCATCACCGATGATGGCCGCAGATCCTTCTGCGGAGAGATGCCCGAACTGCCTTTGGAGCCAGCCTGTCAGTCGTCGGACTGCCAGCGCTTCTGGTCCAGCCCCTACTGCGCACCCACTCTCTACGCGTTGCTGCTGCTCCTGGCGCTGGCCACCAGCTCCTTCAGGAGCAACCTCACCTCGTTCGGGGCTGACCAGGTGAGTGAAGGAGGCATGGTGCCTTGGAGGCCCAGGGGGTAGTGAAGACTGAATGGATGTCCTGGGGCCAAGAGCCCTAGTTGGAGGCACTAGCCTCCAGCTGGACCTCAGGCAAACCATTTCCCTTCTCTGAGCCAGTTTCCTTTTTTGAAAGAAGGGCTGCTAGCCTTTCACAAGTCTCATGCCAGCCTCAGTAGAATTAACCACAGGCCCCACCTCTGAGTCACGTCACCAGGCCCCATGACCAACGCTTAAAAAAAATCTTATTTATTATTTTTATTTTATATGTATGAGTGTTTTGCCTGCATGTATTAGTGCACCCATGTGTGCAATGTCAGTGGAGGACAGAAGATGGAGTCAAATTCCTGGAACTGGAGTTAAGGATGGTTATTAGCTGCCATGCAGGTGTTGGGAACTGAGCCTGGGCTCTCTGCAAGAGCAGCCAGTGTTCTTAACTACCGGACCATCTCTCCAGCCCCCATTTTTTTAATTTTTAAAAATATTTATTATTTTTATCTTATGTGTATGAGTGTACTGCCTGCATATATGTAAGTGCACCCATGTTCTGCAGTGCCCACGGAGGTCAGAAGAGGAAGTCAGATCCCTTGGAACTGGAGTTATGGACAGTTGTTAGCTGTCAGGTGGGTGGTGGGAATCAAACCTGGATCCTCTGCAAGAGCAGCCAGTTCTCTTAATCTCTAAGCCACTTAATCTCCAGTTCCTCACTTTTTATTTTTTGAGACAAGGTCCTAGTATTCCAGGCTGACCTCCAGCTCACTTTGAAGTCATGGGTGATCTTGAACTCTTGATCCTCCTGCCTCCATCTCCCAAATGCTGAGGTAGCCACCAAATGCTATCACACCTACCTCAGTGGGGTGTGGGGGGAGGTTTTGACACAGGGTCTCACCTCTATATCCAAGACTGGTTTGGAACTCACTATGTAGCCCAGTTGGCCTCGAACTTGTGGCCATCCTCCTGCCTTAGCTACCATGTGATAGGATTACAGGTGTGAACCACCATGCAGGTTGCTTTCAGTATTTTAACTTGGCCCTCTTGACTACCCACCAGGTAAAAAGTGTGGTAGCCACTTTCCAAATAAGGACACTGAAATCTCAACTTTTACCTAAAATGACCAGAGAGCAGGTCATGTGGTCAGGTAGAGCTGCTGGGCCAGGCAGGAGCCAGAGAGCCTCTTCTCACCAGCAGCACCAGAGGCCAAGGGCAAACTTGTTCAGATCCAGGCTGCGCCCCTCACCAGCCAGCAGGGACAGCCAAACATGTATCTCACGCTGACTTGGCCTTTCTTCTTTCACCTGGGACAGACGTAGTGTGGCATTCGGAGGAAACAAAATCAAGAAATATTTGGTAAATGAATTGAATGATCAAAGCCCTGATAACATGGTCCTGTTTTGATAGCTGCACTCAGTGACATTTTCCGATGACAATACAAATCAATAGAAGGTATAAAAACAACTGCACACAATGGGAACGACCACAGGCAGGGTGCAGAATGGCACACAGACAGCCATAGGAAAGACAGGGCTTCAGGAGGTACTGACAGTAGGGTCAGGCGACTGGCTCTACTGTACTTTCTCCCTAACTGACTTTGCTTTAAACGTATTGCACTTATGAGGCAGCAGGTTTTAAATGAGTTATAGCACCTAGCCGGAATCCACAATCCAGGACCCAGTGCAGTGCCAAGTGTCCTTACTAAGGATTCCCTTTTTTAAAAAGATTGATTTTATTTATTTATGTGTGTATGTATGTGTGTGCATGAGTGTATGTGCACATGTGCAGAGGCCAGAAGAAGATGGATCCTCTTGGTCCTATCCAGGGCAGCCTTTTCCTATCTTAAAAATGCCCCCTGCATTAAATATCCATACATGATGCATATAGTACAGTGGAAATGTGATAAAATATAGAAAATAATATTCAGGCTGGAAGGATGATTCAGCAGTCAAGAGCACTGGCTGCTCTTGCAGAGGATCAGGGTTTGGATCCCAGCACCCACATGGCAGCTAACAACTAGTTCCAGGGGATCCGACAGCCTCTTCCGTCCTCTGCGAGTATTGTGCGACACGGGTGCACTTACTTACATGCAGGCATAACACTCATACACATAAAACAAAAATAATAATTAATAAAATATTTAAAAATTTTTTATGTATATGAGTGTACTGCCTAAGTGTGTGTAAGTGCACCCATGTCGTGCAGTAACTGCGGAAGTCAGAAGGCACTGGATCCCCTGGACCTGGAGTTATGGCAGATGTTAGCCACCATGTGGGGGCTGGGACCTGAACCCAGTTCCTCTGCAAAAACAGCCAATGCGCTTAACTGCTGAGCCATTTCTCCAGGTCCCCCCTTCCTATCTTATTTAGTGTTGACCAGGAGTTTCCCAATGTTTACATTAATTCTGCTCTTTCATTGATATCCCACTACCTACCCACTCCCATCTGCCCTGGATAGACCCCTGGAGTTGACTGGGGTGGGCTTCCGTTCCAGGGGCTGGCAGGCAGTGAATGAACTACTCCACAGAGCAGAATAGAAGCCATTGTTCATTGAGCATTCTGTAAGATGTAGTGGGCTGACTAGTAACTTGTGTGCCACGTACAGCACAGGGCAGTGGGCTGTGTGTGTGTGTGTGTGTGTGTGTGTGTGTGTGTGTGTTGGGGGGAATGTCTCCATTTGGGAGAAGTACTTCTGTGGTTAAGTTTCTTTTTGTACATTTTCCTGGCATGTAATTTGGGTCATGTGAAGGAGGGCAGTCCAAATAGGTGGTGTACAGTTCTGGGAAATTAGCGTGAGTTGCTATGTTTGTAATTTCCAGTTGTGTAATCTCTACCATGCAAATGAGAGCTATGCAAACCAGGGCAGTCCATGCTGATCAGAATTCAGCCCTGATCAAAGCTCAGGTCACAGGGTAGCTCGGTCAGGTCAGAGCATTCTATGGCTAACAATTTGGGACTCTTGGAGCAAGCTGTGGAAATTCCCTAAAAGAGACTGGCTCTATGTCTAGTCTCTTATCAACAAATGGCCTTTCCTCCGTACCTCCAGGGGTCTCAGCTACCCAGTACCTCCTCTCTCTTTCCTTTGGGTGACAGGCCAGGCCACTGAACAGAGCCTCCTGTGATATCTGCAGGGACAGTGGCTCTTGGGCATGCCCATTAACTGAGCATGGACCTTGGGCAGCACAAGGTTGGTCCAGAAGGCCACCGTAAGAAGCTGAGGTCGAGGCTGGGACTGGGGAGATGGCTCAGTGAGTTCAGTGAGTAAAGTGCTTGCTGTCAGAGCCTGACGACTTGACTTTGAATCCCCAGAACCCAGACATGGTAGTACACATGTCTAGGATCCCAGTGTGTCCATACTGGGGATGGGAGGCCAAGATGCAAGAATCACTGGAAGGCCTCTGGAAGCCCATGGGCCAGCTAGATTGAACAGGAGAGACCCTGTCTCAAACATGGTGGAAGGCACCCAAGGTTGTCCTCTGACCTCCACACTTGTGCTGTGATACACAGCACCGCCCCCTACCCCCAGAAGGTGAGTTGGTCCCAGTGTAAACGGCAATTACCACCAGCAGCGTGAGGAGGTTCCTTATCTTTGGGGGACTTCCACTTGGGTAAAGCTGAAAAGAAATTCCAGGACAAGCCAGCATGAAGCAGAGCTGGTGTTTATTAAAAGGTATTTTAACAGGGCTGGGCCTGCCAGCACATCCCTTTAAATCCCAGCATTCGGGAGGCAGAAGCAGGCAGATCTCTGTGTTTGAGGCCAGCCTGGTCTACATAGTGAGTTCCAGGTCAGCGGGGCTACAGGGAAACCCTGTTTCAGAAAAAAAAAGACATTCTAAAAGATTTTAAAATAGGCATAGTAGTGACCATGGTAGCTTATAATCCCACTGCTCCTATGGTGAGCTAGAGGCAGAGACAGGAGAATCCCTGCAACTTTTTAAGCCAGCCAACCTGGCATACACAGCAGCTAATGACAAGAGACTCTGTTTCAAATAATGTGGAAGGCAAGGAAGATGACCCCCGAGATTGTCCTCTGACTACCACACACATGCACAGCATACACACACACACACACACACACACACACTCACACACACACACACACACAGATACACCCACAGGCACACACACACGCAGACAGATACATAGACACATATACAAACATACAGATACACACACAGAAACACACACAGAGACAGATATATATAGACACACATACATATAGACACATACACACACAAACACACAGATATATACTGATATACACACACAAACACACACAGATATACACACAGACACACACACAAACACAGATACATTCACAGGCACAGGCACATACACAGACAGATACACAGACACAGAGAGAGAGAGATACATGTACAGACACACACACAGGGACACACACACAGACATACAGATACAGAGAAACATAGAGACACAAAAAACACACACATAAATGTAAAATAAATAAATGAATAAATTAAAAAATAAATAAGTAAATTAAAAAATAAGTAAATTTTAAAAATAAAAAGAAAAGAAAAATCTGAGGTTCCCCTGCAACCCAAGCGACCCATAGGCATTGGAAGCACCTTATGACCCATGAGTTTCAGGAATCCGCTTGTCTCTGCTCCATCAGTGCTAGGATTATAAGCATGCACCGCCACTCCAGGGTTTATACACCGGTTCTGCGACCTGAACTCAGGTCCTCACACTTGTGCAGCAAGCGCTTTACTTAGTGAGCCATCTCCCCAGCCCTTCCATTGCTGTTTTAACATTAAATAACTCTATCTAAAAGGAATGTTCTCTACATCAGCAACTTTCACAGCAAATGTTATTCATTGTGCTGAAATTCTTGAGTCTCAGCTGCTAAAAAGACTTCAAATCAGACTCTGGATTGAGGGCTTCCTTTCTTTCCCCACATTCCCATCATCTCTCCTGTCTTTTTATCCCTGGGACAGGAAAGAGATGCTGGACTGGTATGAAGAAGCATCACTGGATATGAGGTTTTTTTTTTTTTAAGATTTTTTTTTTTAAAGATGGCTTTGCTGCCAGACATGGTAGCACGTCTTTAATTCCAGCACTCGGGAGGCAGAGGCAGGTGGATCTCTGTGAGATTGAGGCCAGCCTGGTCTACATAGTGAATTCCAGGCCAGCTTGGGCTACAGGGAGACCCTGTCTCAAAAAGACCAAAAAAAAAAAAAAAAAGGTGGCTCTACTGCCATGTAGAGATGCATGAACCCACAGGAGTGGACTCACCAGAACCCAGGGCTGGCCGCTGTAGGATTCAGGGTGGGCAGGGAGCCAGTCAGGGGAAGTGACGAATAGGATGGCTGGTACCATCTGGAAGACAGCTATACCCAGGAGCTTCACATTTACCACACTTGATTTCAGGAAGGGCCCATCCATCATTTTCCACCAAGTGCCTGCTTGCTCTGGTAGGACTCATCTATATCCCACACAGCTGTCTGCTCTTCCCCTTCCAGTTATAATTGTCATATGCATTTACTTCCAATTAATAAATGGAAGTGGCTGCTCAGTGTGAGACTCACTCAATTTTCTGCTTGAAGTTCTAGACGAGGATTCTCATCTAGCTGACACGGAGGTACCCCTACCTCCCTGTCACCAAGAGGGCCCCTCAGAATCCCCAAGGCAATGTAATTTTACGCACATCTGTAAGGATTATAATTTTACATTTAGATAAAGAGAAAAACACTTATCTTTTTTTCCCAGTACAACTGAATTGAGTAAAACTTGAGAGAATCCTCTTAATGAGTGGAAATATGCATTCAATATTTGGGATAGGTGGACAAAGAGTGGTGGAGTTTGAGATTCAGGGATTACTAAACGGTAGCTGGTAGCTGGGCCTGGTGCCACAGACCTGTAGTCCCAGATAAACCTTGGAGGTTTAAGCAGGACTGCAGCAAGTTTAAGGCCTGACTTGGCTTTGGAATGCGTTCAAGGTCAGTTTCAATGGTTCCGAATCTATTTCAAAATAAAAGTCAAAAGAAGGCTAGGGCTATAGCTCAGTGGTAGAGCACATGTGCAGCATGCTTAAGGCTGGAGGTTTGTACTCCAGTATGGGACACAGAGGGTGAGTATGTAAGAGCACATGCTATGAAAATATGAAGACTTGACTTGGGATTCAGGGCCCACATAAAAAGCCAAGTGTGAATGCATGTGCCTGTAACCTGTGTACTCCAGCCAAACTCCAGGTTCAGTGAGAGCTTCCCTCTCAGAGAAATAAGGCAGAGAGTGATAGAGCAGGGCACCTGACATCCTTCTCTGACCTCTGCATATTCACAGGCATGCACACACATACATATACCACACATACACATAAACACACACACACACACACACACACACACACACATGAATACAGAGATTCATTTATCTTTTGGAGTTTTTTTGACAGGGTCTCCCATAGCCCCAGCTCACCTGCAACTCACATGTAGACCAGGCTGGCTTCTATCCCACAGAGATTGGCCTACCACTGCCTCCTGAGTGCTGGGATAAAGACGTGTGCCACCATGTCCAGAGTGATTCATTTATCTTGAGATATGATTACCTCCCCAAATTCTCATGGCTTTTCAGAAATGCAGGTGCTCAGGCCCTGATCTTGACTTGCTGAATCAGAATCTGAGATCAGGGTCTGGGAATGGGGTTGCAGCCAATACAGTTAGCCAGAGCAGTGGGCCACAAGGGGACCTGTTGCAGATGGATCTAAATCCCAGGGAAGGATTTTCAGTCCATCTGCCTTTACTGAGGGGCTGAAAAATATTTTTTTTTCATGAGGTCAGAGCCTGTTCTTAGGGCTGTATGTCTAGGAACCCATCCTCTGATTCTCCAGCTTTGACTGGGCACAGATTGGAAAGACTGCTACAATACTCCACATCTCTAAGCTGCAGAAGGAATTCTCAAGCAGCTTCCATCTCACCATTCTTTGAGTAGCATGAGTACATCATATTTAATAGTGTGGAGCATAGCTGAGTTCTTTATGGGCTTTTTGTTGATTATAAAAGTGATGCACAGCATGGGTTGTTCAGTCAAAAGCGACAGGATAAATCAACCAGAAGTAGCCTCAGAGACATCTGTTGCACATCCTATTTGGTGACAATAAAAAGCAATGTGTGTCATGGGCATGTCAACGGCTGGGTGAAAGTGTTTTGATCTGCCAAGGCATGGTAGTGCATTGCATGCCTTTAATCCCAGCATTTGAGAGGCAGAGGCAGGTGGATCTCTGTGAGTTCAAGGCCAGCCTGGTCTACACAGTGAATTCTAGGCCAGCCAGGGCTACATAGTGAGACCCTGTTTAAACAAAACAAAACAAACAAAACAAAACAAAACATGTTCTATTATTAGCTATGGCTTCCAAGAGAAATGTGTATTCAAGGACTAGGGAGACAGCTCAGTGGTTAACAAGATTGCTATGAAAGAATGAGGGTTGGGGGTTCAGATTCTCAGAGCCCACATAGAATGTTGGCTGGGCATGATGGCCCACCTGGAACTCCAGTCTCAGAATGTGGAGGCAGAGGATTTCCAGAGCAACCTGGCTAGTGAAACTGCCATATCAGTGAACTCTGGGTTTGACTGAGAGACCTTGTTTCAATGAATGAGGATGACTCCTGACATCAACCTCAGGCCTCCATATGTACTCCCACACACCTGCATGCACCCCGACACCTGCAAGCATGGCTCCCCACATGCACCTACACACATGCAAATATGCATACACACATGAAAAGAAAGGTTTATTCACTATTCATTTAATGGCTATTTATTGAGTGTCTATCAGTGACACCAGAAGCAGCCCTGTGGGAGGTATGAGTGCAGGTGCAGAGGGTGCCCAGGGACCCTCTGGGTCCTCTCTCACTCCCGTCCATGGCTGGCTGGCAGGTGATGGATCTTGGGCGTAATGCCACCCGCCGCTTCTTCAACTGGTTCTATTGGAGCATCAATCTGGGTGCCGTGCTGTCGCTGCTGGTGGTGGCCTTCGTCCAGCAGAACATCAGCTTCCTGTGGGGCTACAGCATCATCGTGGTCCTGGTGGGCCTGGCATTCTTCATCTTCCTCTTTGCCACCCCCGTCTTCATCACCAAGCCTCCTATGGGCAGCCAAGTGTCATCGATGCTGAAGCTGGCATTCCGAAACTGCTGTCCCCATCTGTGGCGACAGCACTCTGCCAGGTAAGGAGGGATGAAGGAGGCCACCAACCCTGCAGGGGGAAGCCGAGTCCAACTTGTGGACCTTCTGGTTCATTTTCAGGGCTGGTCCTTGATAAGAACATGCCTTCTATTTGGCGAGAGCTACTATGACTGAGGATGTTGGTGAAGATCAAAGTAGTAGGGTGCTGCTGCTGCTGCTGCTGATGGTGCTACTGGTGACCCTTTAACTAGAAATCTTGTGGACAGGGCTCCTGGGGGCCTGGAGATGACCCAGTCAGGAAAGCACTTGCCTTGAATGCATGAAGACCTGAGATTCATCCTCAGTACCAAAATAAAAATGTCAGGCATGGTGGTGCGTACTTGCAATGTCATCAGGGAGGTAGGGGCAGATGGATCCCTGGGACTTTCTGGGAAGCCAGCCTAGCCTAATTGGTGGTCTGCAGGCCAATGAGAGACTGTCTCCAAGGGGCTGGAGAGGTGCTAGGCATGGTGATGCATGCCTTAATTCCAGCACCTGGGAGGCAGAGGCAGGCAGAGCTCTGTGAAATTAAGGTCAGCTTTGTCTATATAGCTAGATCCAGGCTGGCTGAAGCTACGAGGAGATCCTGTCTCAAAAAGACACACAAAAAAAAGAGGTGAACAGAATTCCTGAAGATGAGACCTGAGGTTATTCTCTGTCCTCCACGGACACATGCATGTGTACCCATACATGAATACCTATGCATCAAGCATGGGCATGTGAGTGGGCACACACACACATACACACACACACACACACACATAGGGCTGGGGAGATGGCTCAGTTGGTAAAGTGCTTGCTGCACAAGCATAAGGAACTGAGTTTGTATCAATCCCCAGCACCCATGTTAGAATCTGAGCATGAGAGGCATGTGCCTGAAACCCTGCTGCTAGGAGATGACCATAGGAGGACTAGCCAGCTAGTCTAGTTGAATCAGTGAGATCCAGGTTCAGTGAAAGACCATGCCTCAAAAAAATAAGGTTGAGGCTCAGGAGATGACTCACAGATAAGAGCACTTGCTATGTAAGCATGAGGACCTGAGTTCAAATCCCCAGAACTTGTGTAAAATGCCAGTATGGTCACACATACATCTGAAAACCCAGAACTGGGGGACAGTAGGGGGATTGGAAAAAGGAGAATCACTGGGATTTGTTGGTCAATAAGGTTTAGTGATAGATCCTGTCTCATTGAGGTCTCCTCTGGTCTCCATGCACATGTGTATGGGCACCAAACTAACAGACAATGCACACGTATACACACACACACACAGACACACAAAAAAAATTTAAAAACAGTAAGATGTGATGTAATTGAGAAAGACAATCAGTGTCCAGATGTCCAGACATGCAAATGCACACATGGTCTAGTTCATTCTGTTGCTGTGACAAAGCAACTTACAGGAAGAAAGGGTTTATTTCAGCTTACAGGTCATAGTTCTCCATTGAGGGAAGTCAGGGCAGGAACTCAAGCAGGAACTTGAAGCAGAAACTATGGAGGGCTGCTGCATGCTGGCTTACACATGCTTAGCTTTTTTATACAGCCCGGGATCACCTGCCTGGGAAATAGGGCTACTCACAGTGGGCTGAGACCTCCTGTGTCAATTAGCCATCAAGACAGTGTCCCACAAGTGTTTCCAAAAGCCAGTCTGATCTGGGAAGTCCCTCAATTGAGACTCCCTTCTCAGATGACTCTAGACTGTGCCAAATTAACAGCAAACTAGGTCACATGTGCATGTATACACAAATGCACCCACAAACATGTACATGTACATCCACAAGGAAGAAAATGGATTGTGAGGACAGCGACGGTCTTGGCAACGACAGCAGTGATGCAGGCGGCAAAGACGAATGAGGATGTGGGTTGACGACAGTCCCGGTGGGGCGGTGGCATGATGGCAACAGTGAAGGTTGTGCACATCCTAGGATGTTCTATGAACAGTCATCTTGGAAGAGAACCACAATGGAGTCTCAAAGGTTGACAGAGGGCTTTTGGAAGAGAAAAGGATCAGACAGTCTCAGGACAAAGAACAGCAATAGTTGATCCAATTATTCTAAAATGAATAACCCTGCTATTAAGTGTAAGAGTCTTTAGGAAGCAGCCAACCTTGCTCCCTCCCCCATGAGCTCACACCTGAGGGAGAATTCCCTTGGAAATGCTTGGCGGTCACCTCATGTCCCTTCCTTCCAATCTTTTAAAATATTTATTTATTATTTACTTATCTATTTTATTGTGTGCATGTGCTCATGCCTCCTGTAGCACACATTTGGAGGTCAGAGGGCAGCTTGTAGGAGTCAATTCTTTCCTTTCACCATGTGGGTCCCAGGGATCAAAGTCAGATCATCAGATTTGACAGCAAATATTCTCCACTTTCATATCACGTGTCCTATTGCCCTCCCCAGCCCCTCCCTCAAAGCTGTTTTTATTCCTCCCCTCATGGGCCCCTTTCTACTTCCCTGGCATCTACACACACTCACACATACATCCACATATATAACAGAAACTGGGATCCACATATGAGAGAGAACATGCAGTGTCTGTCTTTCTGTCACTGGGTTTCCAGTTCCATCCATTTTCCTCAGATTTCATTTTTCTTTATGGCTGAATAAAATTCCATTGTGTACAACTGACTGCCTATGCCAAGCAAATCTGGCTCCAGTCCCTGGAGCCAATCCCAGCTGAGGTCAGTGGGATCTAGACAGAAAGGGCAAAGCACCAGATCCCCCGCCCCCAAAAATGCCCCCCCCTGCCCCAGGCTGACCCATTGATGGAGGTCCTTCAGTAAAGTTGCAGGTGCCGGGGAGTCTGATGGTTTTAATTATATCTCCCTACCTCACAAACCACACTGCAGCTTCTAACTCAAATGCCAGCTTCTTCATCTGCTCTCAAATGCTGTGGGTAACTGGGCCCAGCTGGGTGGGTCTTCTGCTGCTCCTGATGTCACAGGGCCTGCAGTCATCTGGGAGCTTTAAAGGGCTAGATTCTAGAATGTTTTCATATGGTTGGCAGTCCATGGTGAGCTCAGAGCTGGGACATATGATGGCAGCCTTGGTTTCTCCTTCCTGTGACCTTGTCTGTGGCTTGTGTTTCTCAGGGATGGTGTCTGGGTTGTAAAAGGAGGGAGCATTCTAAGAAGGAATGTTCCAGAAGGTAGGAGGTGGGAGCTGTAGGCCTTTTGAAGGCCTTGAGGAGGCTTAGACATGCAAAACATAGCATCTCCCTCTCTTTATTGGTCAAAGTGTTGCAAAGCTGGCCTCCATCTGGCAAGAGAAACAAATCTCAGTACTGGTGAGGCATGGTGTTGCATGCTGGGAGGGAGGGGTTGATGGCAGCTGTCCCTTGAGGGAATCATGCTTGTTGTCTCTCTTTCGGAGTCTCAGATGATAATGCAAGGTTCTTGGATAAGAAAGGTTCAAAACCTGTCAAGACCAAGATGAAGTTTACAGTAGTGGTTGATCTATCTGATTTCCTAGTGACTGTCCTTCCACCTCCCCCTCTACTCGCTCCTTCATCAAGTCCACTCAGGACAGACTTGGGTCAGCAGCAGGGGAATTGGGGTCCATTGAATCCATGATAGACTCAGTCAGATTTGCATTGGCAAATAGAGGCACAAGAAATTGCATTGACCCAAGCCACAGAAATCCGCAAGGCTCTGCTGGCTCCGTCTCTGGTCTTACTTTTCCCATAAACCCAAAAACCACTGCTCAAGAGTGTCTTGAGTCTGATGACCGTCTCTGCTACAAAATAGACGAGCAGGTGATGTTGATAGTGTGGTGCCAACAAGGGGAAACATGAGATAGGAAAGAAACTTGTTGAGCAGACAGCTTGAGTGACAGCAATCACCTTAAGGGTGGGATTGACAGTGGGGGTGATGGAGTTGGTGCTGGTGGTGATAGCAAAGGTGGTGTTAAGAGTGGAGTGGAAAGGAGTGGCTGGATACATGAGGATCCTGGAGTTGTTCTCTCCATCCACTATGTAGGTTCTGGGGATCAAACTCAGGCTGTCAGGCTTGGCAGCAAGTGCCTTTACCCACTGAGCCATCTCGCCAACTCCTTAGTAGGGATCCTGGGAGGATGGTGGTTGAAGAGAACAGTGGAGGTAGAAACGGTGGCCATGGTGATGGAGAGGGTGATGACTGCTGTTTTCTCTCTTCCCTGTGGCCCCCCAGGGACCCTCAAGGTGCCCACCTGCTGCCTGACCAGAGGTCTCCCCAGCCTGGTCCTTCCCCTCAAGAAGACATGGCCAACTTCCAAGTGCTGGTGAAGATTCTGCCTGTCATGATGACCCTGGTGCCCTACTGGATGGTGTACTTCCAGGTGGGCACCTCTGCCATATGTGAGGCCCCTCACCTAGCCCCCCACAACCCTTGCTGTAGGGGGAAAGCAGGATAAGAGTGAGTTGTTGCTATAGTAGCAGAGGTGGGCCTAGCACAACATCAATTGCTTATCCCTTGGGTGAACACAGGAGGAGCCTGGGAAGGAGCCAGAGGTCCAGCTCCTTGAGGACATCCAGCTCCTTGTAGATGCCCACCTCACTGGACCTCAGTTTTCCTATGGGTGCAGTGGTTGACTTAGACCAGAAGGTTTCCAACCCCAAAGCATTCACATCTAACTTGGCAGGTAAAGCCCAGAGAGGGTGTATCAGCTGCCCAAGGTCACACAGCATCAGGTGAGGGACAGGCTTGCTGTATTGGGTCACTATAAAGTGGCCCCTGACCTCAAGTATACCTCAGAATCACCTGCAGAACTTTAAAAACTACAGCTGCCCAGGTCCCCCCAGACCACAGAACTGCTATAGAGTATCCAGTTAAAGGTCTCAGATCTGACAGTTACTGCCTTCCACCCAGCACATTTCCCAGGGGAAGGTAGTAGGATATACATGTGTATGTACATATGTGCAAGTGTATGTGTCCATATGTATGCATGGACTGCATGTGTCTGCCTGTGTGTGTGTACAAATATGTCTGTATGCAGGTGTGTGTATGTGCATTCACGTAGTAGTAGTATAAGTATGTACATATTTGCATAGGTATGCTCATGCATGTGTGTCTATGTGTGTGCACATGGACTGCATGTGTGTGCCTGTGTGTGTACATGTGTGTCTATGTGCAGGTATGTGTATACATGTACATTCACATGTGTCGAGCCAGGGCATCAACTTAAGCCCCAAGTAACAAGGCCGTTGCCTCCCACCCACTCTTCACTGAACCCAGTAGAAGATAGGGTTATGCAGGGCCAGCCTGCTACTCAGGGTGGCACAGAGAATGTCCCAGATGAGACAAGGACATGGGGAAGGTTTCCATACCAGCTGTAGGACATCCTTCCACAGCAGTTGACAAGTGGCTGTTGCCCTGAGTGACCTCAGAGCCCTCCCTCCCTCCCCCCCATCAGTAGTCTCCTGGAACCTGCATTTCATAGCAGCAGAACTGCCAATGACTGGGGGGGGTGGGCATTTGTGGGTACCAAGCATGCTCCTTCCTGCAGTGATGCCCAGAGCCATGCTGGCAAGTCAGCGCCCCTGTACTAGCCGTGTCAACCTATGAGGCTCAGCTTGGCTTCAGTGTCAGATGACAACTCCCTGTGGGGACAGCCATGCCATTATCTTCCTATTTCAACTCCACTCTGTGTGGGCCCTGGAGACACAAATGGGAGCAGCACTTGGGATAAGACCTGGGCATAGCTCATGGTCTGAGAGGCCCTGCCCCCAAGGCTGCCTTCCAAGGAGCAGCAGTGGGATTGCCATCCCCTAATTTGGGGAAGGGCCAGCTGTCCAGGGTGCTGCTGAGGAATGCTTCCTCCTGAAGCCCAAAGATAGGCAGGCAGCTCAACCCCTGTCCCTGCCATCTCTTGGCAGATGCAGTCCACCTATGTCCTGCAAGGTCTTCACCTCCACATCCCCAATATTTTCCGGTCCAACCCTATCAACAGCTCCTTGACTCTGAGAGCAAAGAACAGCAACTACAGGGTAAGATGATGGGTGTTTGATCAGTCCAGAACTCAGGCCAGGCTGGGAGCATCCTGTGGGAAGCTGTGGGGCATGCTCAGATTCAGGAAAGGCACCTGCAGGATGGGGAGACGGGTACCATGGTCCCCTCCCAGCATGATCACCTGCTCACAAGAACTCAGGCCAGGTGTCCCTGCCCCCCTCCACCACTGCTGCTCTGAAGTAGTCCACATTGTCCAGTTGTGCCATGGTCCAGGTCTCTGTTCAACACTTCCTTGTTCCCTCTTTCTCTGGGACCCTTGGCAACCTAGATCTAAATCTAGGACTTTCTAAACCGGTTAATTTCTTTGCATTGCATATACATAAAATTAGAGATTGTCAGAGCTGCCAATAAATGACACATTTGTCCCTATACTCCCTTCCCTTGTCCATTGGCAGACATCACTAATCAGTCACTTTTCCATGCTGAACTCCTAAATGTTCCAAGCAAATACTACCAATTGACAGAAGCTGGTATTCAGGAGGAAGCTCTTTGACCTCCCCGGGTCACTCAGGGACATTCTCTAGCCCAGAGCCCTTTCTGCTGACATTCTGCCTCTCCTGTCCCCTCCTGTGCAGATCCCAGAAGCCTGGCTCCTGCTGGCCAATGTTGTGGTGGTACTAATTCTAGTCCCAGTCAAGGACCGCTTGATTGACCCATTACTGCTGTGGTGCAAGCTGCTGCCCTCGGCTCTGCAGAAGATGGCCCTGGGCATGTTCTTTGGGTTTACTTCTGTCATTGTGGCAGGTGCGTGGTGAGAACTCTGAGCTGTCTTTAAAGCAGGGATAGTATTCATTCAGACCCTGAGGGAGACAGGGCTCTGTCCTCAAGGGACATAGTATAAGCTAGGGGACAGGGAGTGTTGGGAAGACTTGTGTAGGACAAGAGTCCCCTAACTCATAGTTTAGGAGTTCAAGGCTGACCTGGGGTACATTAGACTTTGTCTGGAAACAAAGAAAAAAGTAGGTAAAGAAATTAAGCTCAGGGGCTGGAGAGATGGCTCAGCGGTTAAGACCATTGGCTGTTCTTGCAGAGGACCTGATTTCAGTTCCCAGCACCCACATGGCAGCTAAAAACTATCCGTAACTCCAGTTCCAGGGGATATGACACCCTCTTCTGGCCTCTGTGGGCATTGCACACACATGGTGTGCTTACATCTGTGTAGGCAAAACACTCACACACATAAAACAAAAATAAATTAAAAAAAAAAACCAAACTCAATGAATACTGTCTTGTTTAACATGTGCAAACCAAAACTAGATTCTTTTATGCCTATGTTCTTTAAAGCATTTTGTCTGTCCTATTCCATTCTCAATAATCCCAGAAACCATATTTCTTCTTGAGTAAGGGAATGAAGTCTCCCAGAGGTTAAGTGACTTGTACAAGGTAACACAGCAAGCCAGTGTTATCACTGTCCAGTGTTACCAGGTCCAGGATTGGAACAAGAGTTCCTTAACTTGTTTGGCTCATTCACTAGGGCAAAGCTATCCCTCAAGCAGTGGAGGTGGGGAGAAGACAACTGATTTGAAATCCAGATTAGAAGCAGTGCTGTAACACCTGGTCTCACCCTAGAGCAGTCATGTGGGTAGAATGTAGACAACTTTAAAACCAGATATACTGGAGCTGAGATTCAGCCCCAACTACTTATCACCTATATGATTTGGGGCTGATTGCTCAATCTAAGTTTCACTTTCTTCATTCATAAAATGTCGTAATCACACTCTGGATTAATTAGAGTGACTACCTAAGCATAAAACCTAGCTGAGCTTCCTAGCAGCCAAGCCAAGCCAAGTTGCCTGGGGTAGTCTGACTGTCCTCTCCCTCTGTTCGCCCACCAGGAGTCCTGGAGAAGGAGCGCTTACAGTACATCGCTGCCAACCAGACAGTGTCTCAGCAGATCGGGAAGGACCTGTACTACGCAGCACCACTGTCTATCTGGTGGCAGATCCCCCAGTACTTGCTCATTGGGATCAGTGAGATTTTTGCCAGCATCCCAGGTACTCTGAATCTCTTCCCCAGCTCTCACCCCAGTGCTGGGCTCACCCTACTGGTGCCTCCAGACCAGAAGGGAGCCATGGGCACAGGGCCAAGGCTTGAGGCAGCATTTCTGAGCAGGGTCTGCATCCCCCACAATTGGGTTTTGGGGACTTATTAGCACAGGGTTCAGGGTTGAGCCAGCCACTGCAACAGAGCCTAGGGAGATAAAAAGATTTTCCACATGTTCCCATGCTATGGTCTCTACCCTGTGTCCACTGACAGTTAGTTAGTTGTTCCTCCCCACTTGTTTCCCTTTCAATTTCAGGCCTCAATAAGCTCTTGGGTGGAGAGGCTCTTCCGTTCTGGAACTCAATATCGTGTTTTATGATACACGTGTGTGTACATGTGTGTACACAGGCACCTGGTCAGGAAGCCAGAGCTGCAGGCTTAGGGAAGGCTCTTCCACCAAACCATGGTGGGGATTTTATCTTTATTATAAAAGTGACCGTGAGCACACCTTGCGATCAAGGAGCCCAACCGGTGCTGCACTGGGGACTGTAGAGTATGGTGGGTTCTGGGGCAAGGTGAGGAAAGATGAAGAGTTGGACTTTGGAGGAGGCTGAAGTCAGCAGGTTCGGGAAGGATCTTAAATGCAGTGGGAACTGCATAAGCCTGGAGCTTGGTGGGGAGTGAGGGGGATGGTGCTGGAGAGGGGCAGAGTGGGGAGAAGGTCACATTGTCAAACCAGGCCCAAGGGCTGAGCCTTGATGGGGGTTTCCCCTAAGGGCAAGTGGGTGATGGGGTCAAGGGCACGGCCAGAGCTGAGGTTTGGTTTAGGGTGGAGGGGACAGAGAGGAGGGTATACATTTGGTAGCTATTTTAGAGGCTGAATGGAATTTGGTGATGGTGTGAAAGGTGGGCAGAGGTGGGGGATAAGCTCAAGATGCTGCTGGTTTGGCTGTACCCCCACCAGTGGGATGCCTGGGAAAATGGGGAACAGTCAGTCCTGGGGTAACGTGAGTGGTGTCCAGGGGCAGTGTCCCACCAGGGATGTATCAGCAGAGCCAAGAGGATGCATCATGTTATGGGTGCTCAAGCTCAGGGGAGCCAGGATGGAGGCTCAAAGAGGGGGTGAGGAGGAAGGGAGGGTGGGCATCGTGACCCCTGTTGGGAGGTTGGTACCTGGGCTCATCTATGCTCTCCCTGCAGCCCCAGGTCCTTCTCTCTCTTCCCTCAGGTCTGGAGTTCGCCTACTCAGAGGCCCCACGCTCCATGCAGGGTGCAATTATGGGCATCTTCTTCTGCCTGTCGGGTGTGGGCTCGCTGTTGGGCTCTGGCCTGGTGGCCCTACTGTCCTTGCCAGGGGGCTGGATGTACTGCCCTAAGGACTTTGGTAAGTGAGAGGGGAGCCTCCCCAGGAGGAAACAGGGAAGAGGGGAGACTTGGAAATGGGGAGGGCAGTTGTGTTTGAGGCTCAGTGGCCCTCAGAGGCTCCTTCTAGCTTCCCAAACCCAGCCATTCTCACAAGTGGCCACTTTTCTCCTGATGTTTACTTGCAGCCTCCAAATAAATAGGGGAAATGGGAGACATCCAGGAGACACTTGGGGAGTCAGATATTGGAGGGCTGTCTGCCCAGTGTGCTCGGATCCCACCCAATGGAGTGTTGCCAGGGCGAAGGGAAGACAGGAGCCTCTCCCCACTCACATGCCACACCTCCTTTCCTAGGGAACATCAACAACTGCCGGATGGACCTCTACTTCTTTCTGCTGGCTGGAATTGAGGCTGTCACGGCTGCCCTGTTTTTCTGGATTGCTCAGCGCTATGAGAGGGCTCATCCGAGTGTGGGTTCCCAAAACCCTTCTAGCCGGGACAGGGGCTGAACTGGGCTCCACCCACAGGGGCAGTGTCGGAATAGTATCAGCCATGGCCATTTCCTTCTCATTTTATTCTGTACCTGACATTAGAATGAAGCGGTTCCCATAAATACGGAGCATGCGCCCTTCCTCTTGACCACCGTCCATGACAAGGGGGAGGGGCAGAGGGGGCTTGGGTTGGGGATCCCCAAGGGGACCCAGCAAGGGACTTAGATCAACAAGCACCAGAGGATGAGTACAAGGACCAAGCTTGAGGCTCAGTGGGACCCCTCACCCGCCCTACTGTCTGGGCTGCCTGCCCACACTGCACCTGGCAGGCCAGTGGGTGGTCAAGAGCTGCCCCGGATCCTCTCCATGTAGTTACGAAGCTCCTCGGGGTCCTTCAGCCCCATGTCCTCACACACCCAGCGGATGTCCTCCTCCCCGGCCACCAGGATGGACTGCACGGCTGGGGCCCCTACAGGCTCTTCGGGCAGCTGGGCTGGGGGTACTGGTGCAAATGTCACAAACTCTACTCGCTTCCGACGTCCCCCGGCTTCTTTGCGGGCCAGGGTACTGGAGGAGCTGACAGTGCCCTCAGGAGGGGCAGGGGTCACAGTTGGGGTATCTCCTCCTGACCCACTCTCACAGGGGCAGCCCCCCTCCCCCTTGGGTGCGCCGGGGGAGCGTCGGTCTAGTTGACGGCTCAGTTCCTCCTGGTCGGTGCCCAACCAGACCCAGTTATGGGGCTGGGGGGAGGCAGGGTCAGCGGCACTATCGGGGGGCTCTTTACGCTGGTAACGCAGCACGAAGACCACACCGTTGACCAGGAAGATGAGGATGGCCAGACAGAAGACCCCCAGCAAAGCATACATGCCCAGCTCTAGGTCGGTGACACGCTGAGGGGCAGGCACCATCTCTTCCTCATCTTCTTCCTCTTCTTTGGCCTCATCTTCCTCCTTCCCAGCCTCTTCCTCTGCCCGCTCAAATTTGCCCCTCACACCCACACTGCCCCCCACACCGACTGCTACCTGCCGCTCACCCCCGACACTGGCCGCTGTGGCCAGTGGGCTCTGGGCAGGGCTGGATGGTAAGGCAGGAACTGGTGTGAGCACAGGGGGCAGCCCCAGCCATGCAGTGCCTGTGGCCAGGGGCACACGGTGTCGGCCCCGGCGACAGGGCTCTGGTGGGTGCAGAGCCACGTGTAGGGGTAGCCCTTCCGCGCCCGCCCCACTCACCACCACGCTGAGCTGGGCGCCCTGCTCTTGGGCTGGTAGGATGGCACTAGGCTCCTCGACTGAGACTGACAGTCCCAGGTCATGGCGGTCGTAGAGTTCGGCAGGAGCCAAAGTGTGGTCAGAGAAGGACAGCCACAGGGAAAGGGCCACCTCCTGCAGGGCACACGGACACAGGCAGAGACACGCGAGGGCACGCATGCATGCACACACAGACCACTCCCACAGTGACAAGCCACAGGGAGGAGAAGGCACAGAGGAAACAGACACAGGCAGATGGACAAAACACAGGGAGAAAGGGGACGAGTGTCAATCACCTGTCTGCCACTCAGCCCCGGGGTCTGAGTCCTCGGGAAGGCCTAAGGAACCTCCCAATGTCACACTCCAGTCAGCCACTGCTTGATCACTTTCAGTCAAAGAAACCACACTACTTCACTGGGAGGCAATCCTCATTTTAAGAACCCTAAGGTTAGGGGTGTGGGTACCAGGGCCCATTTCCTACCACCATCCTCCACCATCAACCCCCATCAGTGGCTGTTGACCTCACCCCGACACCCAGCCATCACCTGCTTTGGGGCCGGAAGGGCTGACTGGGCCCAGCATGTGGCTGTGACCTCCCCAGGGTGGACAGTGCTCCGGCTCAGGGCTAGGGAGATGCCCATCACCGGTTGCACCCGCAGCTCCAGCACCGAGACCTTGTCGTCTGTCACAGCCAGCGCCTGCTCCCCCAGGATGGAGTCAGACAGCGGGGAACGCACCTGAGGGTGGGAAGCAGTGAAATGGGGGCTCCTCCCACAAGCATCTTGTTTTGGCTGCCAGCATCCTTATCTCTGCTTTCTGTACCCCAATATATGCCCCACACATACAGACTCCAATCCACACCTAGGGGATGGTGCCCTCTACTCTGAGGTCTCCCCATATACTTATTTGCTAGCCTCTCATATACAGAACACTGCCTCCATTGAACTCTATTCTCATCCAAGCCCCAATCTCACCTAGTCTGCCCACCTCCTCTCCTCCAGCATAGCCCGAGTCCTTCCTGGAGCCTTTACACCTGACCAGGAATATTCTGGGGACACCTGCACCTTTGGCAGTGGAGGAGGAGGAGGATGCCTGCTCTCCTGTGTCCTCTATGGCTCACCTCAATGGAAGTGACACCTGGTTCTCGGCCCACCAGGATGCGGCCACCTTCCAGGGAGGCTATGCGAGGGTCTTGCACACGGGCGTGGGCTGCCACCAAGTGAGTCACATCTAGCAGCCAGTCAGAGCCAAGCAGGTGGGTGAGGCGGCGGTCACTGTCCAGCGGGTGGGCCACAAAGGGCACCAAGAAACGCACACCTGCTCGCTGGTACTGCAGGCGGCAGCCTCGGGAGCGCCGTTCAGCTTCCTCTGCCACTGTGGCCTCCGGCTCCTGCTGCCTGTGGGACCAGGCATCAGTGAAGGCCCCGCCCACTGCACACCACACCTTCAATGAGCCCAAAACACACCAAGAGGCTCTGGATTGAGGCATAATGTCCCAGGATACTAAGGGGCACCTGATTGGTGTATAGCTCCTATTTTGCAAACCTGTTCCCCCACCTCTCTGGGTGTCAAGTCCTTCTACTCTGGGCAGGGACCCCTGGACAGGGATGCCCCAAACCCAGTTCTCTCTATCCAGGTGGCTGTACCTGTCTGTGGATACCTCTGGATGGAGAGGTTAAGAGGATAAGCAGATGACAACTTAGTTTCTGCAGGGCCTGGGAGCTAGATTCCTTCCAAAAGGCCCAGGTACCTCATCCTTATCCGCAGGTTTTGGTGAGCCTCCCCCTGCCTAGTGTAGTATGTATTTTATGGATCTCTGTGCCATCCCAGGCTACAGGTGTAGGCTTTGATGTATAGCTGAAACAGAATAGGAAGAGCTACCTGCCTTGAAGGGCTCACATATGCAGGAGTGGAGTAGAGAAGTGAAGAAGGATGTACAGGAAGCCAAGCAAAAGGAACCAATGAGTGTATAGTGGATTAGGAAGCAGGCAGGGGAAGAGGAGAGGGAGTGCAGATGTTGCCAGTTTAGACTAAAGTGGCCAGGGAGTGTGAGGATTAATCTTGTCAACTTGACAAAATCTAGACTCTCACTCACCCTTCAGATGGACCTGGGACCCTCCAGCCTCGGACCTGCTCCAAAGTGGTGTCCGTCAGCTCAATGTGCAGGGGCAGCAACGGGGCCCACACAGTCAGCCTCAGTGAGGTCCGAAGCCGGCGCCACCAGAAGTCCACCCGCACCCCCTTGGCACCCCGGCTCTCCTTGCCAGCCACAAACACAGCATCACAGGCCTCAGACACCTATGGGAAGGCAGAGGCAGGGAGATGGCCTGAGATACAAATGACAGGCCTGGGCCTGATGGAGCATTGCCTACCCCAGCCATAAGCAGGACTGCAACTGAAATCAAGTTCTGTAGCTCATGAAAATGCATGTTGTGGTGAACTGGGTGGTAGGGCCCTTAGCAAAAGATTTTACCATCTACCAATATCTACCCTAGAGGCACCAGGCTGTGCCCTGGGTTCTCCAGGTGATGAGTTGGGCCATTTGAATGCAACGCAGCCTTCCTCTTGGCAGGGCAGGGCTTGAACTTACAGCTTCAGTTCCTCATTAGTGCCAGCCTTGGGCATTGATGCTAGAGCCACCTGACAGCCAGCTATAGATAAGTGGGTGAAGGCAGAGGAGCAAGGTAGGCTCACCACCTCACAGGCCCTGCCCAGGAACCACCCAAGGAAGCAAAGTGCTGCCCCAGGTGGCAGGTGGCTGAGATCTGTATCAATGCTTCCCTCTTAGAACTTCACGAAAGCTGGGGCTGGAGGGCTGGAGAGATGACTCAATGGTTAAGAGCACTTGCTACTCTTGCCAAGGACCCAGCCTTGGTTTCCAGCACACAGCATCTCACAACCATCTACAAATCTAGTTACAGGGGATTTGATGCCCTCTTCTGGCCTCTGCAGGCACCAGGCACATACACAGTATACATACACATATACATACAACCAAACACTCATACACATAATAATAAAAGATGGAGAGAGTTGACCATCTCTCCCCTTTTAACATTGCAAGTCATTACAAGACTCTAGTAGTGAGTAGTCATATCATTACACAGTCAGCAAATTATAACAGCAGAACCTGTCATAATTTAGTTCTTGCTATCTGCTGAATACTGTCTTAGGTACTTTTAGCTCTTATAGCAACCTAAAGACACAGTCCCATGTTAAGGTTTAGGGAATGGAGGGTAAGAGACTTGCCTATGATCACATAGCTAGTTGATAACAAAGATGGGTTATGATGAGCAATATGGTCAACCTGACAAGATACAGAACCACCTAGGAAACAAACCTCTAGACATGTCTGTGGGAGAATTTCTAGACTGGGCTCACTGAGGTGGGAAGACCCATGTGGGCTGCAGGATGGTTCCCCAGTGACAAAAAGGAGAAAACAAGCTGAGCCCCAGCATTCATGTCTCTGTTTTCTGACCACAGATGCAATGTGACCAGCTGCCTCAAGCTCCTGCCGCTCTGCCTTCCTTGCCATGATGCCTTATATTCTTGAACCATGAGCCAAAATGTTGAAACCCTTGCTTCCTTAAGTTGCTTTTTTGTCTGGTGTTTCGTCACAGTAATGAGAAAAAGTAACTAATACAGGCCTCTACCAAAACTTCTTGACTCCGAAGTACACACACTTAGCTCTCCCAGATCAGTTCACTGGCCAGTGCCGAAATGGACGATGGACATGCAAATGCCTAAGGCCGGGCTCTCAGAGTTCCCACTTCACTCCAGGGAGGGATGTCATGGCTCTGCCCATGATATTTCTGGTTGGGGAGCTGTTCTCTGGGAAAGCCACGTGGACATGACTATATCTACACAAATGCAAACTTGCAGGTGGTGGGCACTTGTCACTCACCTGTAGGACCTGTGTGTTGGCTGACTCACAGCCAATGTGCTCTGTCACCTCCTCCAGAGCTCCTCCACTGTCCACAGTGACGAGGCGCACAGGGACACGCTGGGGCACTCCAGTCAGCGGTGCCGTGTTCACCAGCTCCTCGGCCTGAGGGTTCAAGGGTTGCTCAGCCTCTGGGCCCTCAGCCTCTGGGGCTCATGAGACTTGGCTTCCAGTTGGGCTGGAAGATGTTGGCATCTTACCTTGGCCAGTGGAACCAGGGCTCTGATGTCCCGCTCGGACACCAGGATCTCCAACACCATTTTGTCCTCTGCTTCAGGGGCCTGGCCTGGATACTCCAGCTGCCAGGTGACAGGGCGAGTGACTGCCACGCCCCCGCCAGTGCCATTCTCCACCGCAAAGTCCACCCACAGGAATTCAGACAGTTCAAGGGGACTGCTGGCAGAAGAGAGGGGAGCTGAGTGCTTGTCAGCCACCAAGCACTACTTGTGCATCAGGAGGCAGGCACTGGTTATCCCCACTTGATAGGCAAGGAAACTGAAGCCCAGAGGTGGTGTAACTCCCCAAGTTCACAGTGCAAAGTGGCAGAGCTGGGGCCAAAAGCGTGTGTCCTGGCTATAGAGTCAAGTCATCCTCCACCCCCTCTTTATGATCCAGAGCTACTATGCTAGGCGTGGTGGTGTACACCTTTAATCTCAATACTTGGGAAGCAGAACAGGTGGATCTCTGTGACTTCCAAGACCAACCTGGTCTATACAGCAAGTTCCAGGCTAGCCAGGCAGGACTACATACTCTGTCTTTAAAAAAAAAAAAAAAAAAAAAAATCGCCGGGGTCGGGGGTGTGACACTTTTCTTCTCACCCC